GGGATGGGGAGACTAGAGAGAGAGATGAGCTCAAGCTTGGCTGTCATATAATTTGAGCCCTAGTCAGCCCCAGCACACATACACATCCTGCGTGAACCAGCACTGCTCTTTGCCTTAGAATCACTAATCAGACTGGTGAGTAAATACATGACTTAGGCTCAAAGAAGAAAAAGAAAGAGATTAACAAAGAGGATGAGAGAAAGAAAGAAGAAGAAAGAGAATTATAGTTGGGTCTTTTGCTGATGGAGATGAGGCAGGCAAGGCAGCAACTGGAAGATGCTAAATGGCAGTGTTTGGGAGAGAAATTTGAAAGCTTCAGAATCCTTCTTCTACTAGATGAGTGACTGACTGTAGTGCATGTGGAAATTTAAGGTGATACTCATTTCAAAGAAATTTAATTTTCTTTGATTTGGATCCATGTTCTGCCCTGCCAGGATCATTTTTCTAAAATCTAAATTTAGTCATCCAACATTTTAAGTGTTACTTGCAGCTTAATGATGATGCAAATTCATAGAATAAGCTATCTGCTTATTTATACCATTAATAAAAATGCTCAACAGTCTAGGTACAAGAAGGCTTTTGTCAAGGAAAACAAAATATTTTAATTTCAATTAACATGAAAGCTCTAATTATTACTATAGGATTTTAGCCCTTTTTTGTTTCTTTCTGATATTTATTTTTATCTTAAAACTCTCACTCATGTATCCTCAAAGATGGAAGGATAGACTTTTTTTCAAAATTGAGGTATATAATTTTTTTTTAGAGAGAGAGAAAGCGAGAAAGAGAGAGAGAGAGAGAGAGAGAGAGAGAGAGAATGAGAATATGAGAATGAGGTTATATTGATATAATCTCGTTCTTACAGAGTTTTTATTTTTTAAATCTTTTTCATCTTCATTTTCATTTATTAATTCTTAACTGATTTACTCAGACTGAGAAGCTGATGGTTGTTATAAAGAAGAGAATATATGCTATGGGAAAAGATCCTCTGTGACTAGAGTCATGCAGCTTTATCTTTGAACAAATCCTTCTACCATAAGCTTCTTCTCTAGGTCTCTGTGGTTCAGAGATCTCAAGGATCAGGTTGTCACATGATATGGGACCTGAGAAGTTGCTCATGACTTTCCATGAATCGCTTCTAACTATATCTCTCTCAGGTACTGGTGCTTTTCCTTCTAAAGTCACTGACAAAATTATCTATATCTTAGATACAATGATTTTTATTTGTAGTGTTCTCAATTAAAAAATGGCTTTTCTCCTACTTTTTCTTTGTATGCTCATCATGTTGCCCAGTGCCTGTCACATAGATTTTAATAAATTCTTGTACATTCACTGCCACACTACTGACACTCACTTTTGCCAGTACTCTGAAATGGCTTCCCCTCTTTCACTCCTACGGGGATGGATACTCACTATCTTATTTCATTTCATTAGGTTCTGTCACTTTCCCTACCTCTCTCAAAGCATTCTTTCCTGACTAATTCAGCTTTCATCATTCATGCTTCTTTCTGAGCTCCTATATCATTAATGAACTATTCCCTTCTGCCTTACTTTCCTCTAATTACACAAGACTTTTGCAAAATGACCAGAAAAGGCAATAATGTTTAAGTCATTAAGATTTTCATTATGATTTATTTCAACTCTCATCTGAAAAGGACCAAAACTTCATTTGAAATATCCAAGGGCTGAGGCATGAGGGAACTGTGCAAAGGAAGGTGGATGTAAGACAAAATACACTTGTCAAAGTCATGTGTCAAGGAGAACTCCCAGAACTCTTGCCAGATGGGGATAACCACATTCCAGTCACTGGAGCTGTGGGAATTATGGTAATCAGAATCTTTATTCACAGTAATATGCATATGATAATAAAAGAGCTTACCCTGCGTATGTCTCCTATTGGGTACAGAGTTTAGAAAATTCATCAGCAATCATGAGATTATAGATTTAGATGAGGGCTATGAAACAAGTATCTAATCCAACCACCACATCTTTTAGATGGGGACATGAAGTCCTATACAATTGAAATGGTACTTTCAAAGTCAAAAAAGAAATGAAACATTGCAAACTTAGACACAGATTTTCTGTTCTCAAAATCATCTATTTTTTCCTTGAAGAGGAGGGTAAGTTTTGGGGGTCTTTTGGTGTAGAGGGGCTAATTTGGGGAAAATTCATGAGCAAAATGGGCTGAAAATATCACAGATACTTGTTTCCAAAGTCCTTCAACATTGTGTCAATAGAGAGATTCTCTCAGACATTGTTTACAATTAAATTTCATATTCTTTCATATAGACTAATTGTGGCTCCAAAATAATATTTAAAGAAATAATTTTCTTTAAGGCAGAGACTTTTTTTCTAATAGACCTTAAATTATATAAAAAGTCACAAGGTGAATTCGTAATCCAGAAAAACAAATACTCAGCCTTGCCCTATCCACAAATGCATGTCTTGTTCTCCTTTCAGAATCCCTCATATTTCAGGCACGGTATGGGAACTGCTTTTCATCATTGGCTTTAACTTGCCTTTCTCTATTAGACATCAGGAGCCTTCTTTTACATGTTTGTTAACATCTTGTATTTCTTCCTTTTAAGACTGTCTGTTTCTAGCCTTAACCACTTATCTTATAAAGAATGACTCTTAAACTTATAAATTTGAATCTGATATATGTATCAGAAAGACTTTTTGAAAAATTTCCCAGTTTTCTGTTTCAATTCTAATTTTGCTTGTGAAAAAAAATTGAAATAATTAAAATTTTACATTTTATATATATATATATATATTTTACGCATTTGGTAATGATGTCTTCAACTGTCAATAGACATGAAAAGCTTGATGTCACAGTACGTAGAACTCTGAAGTTAGAAACAGGAAGACCATAGTTCCAATCTGGTCTCAGGCATTCTTGTTAGATATGTGGAACTAAGCAAGAAAATTTAACCTCTTTCTTCCTCAGTTTCTTCATCTGTAAAGAGGAAAAGGTGAGTAGCTATGTGATATAGTGGGTAGAGCACCAGGCCTAGAGTAAGTAAGAGTTAGGAAGAACTGAGTTAAAATAAATCCTGTTTGCTTACAGTATCAGGCTTTATATCTAAATCATGAACGCATTTTGACTTTGTTTTGGCATACGGTATGAGATTTTGGTCTATGCCTAGTTTCTGCTATACTCTTTTCCAGTTTTCCCAGCAGTTTTTGTCAAAAAGTGGGTTCTTATCCTAGAAGCTGGAGTCTTTGGGTTTATCAAATAATAGATTACTATAGTCATAGACTACTGTGTCTTGCATACTTAACCTATTCCACTGATTCATCACTCTATTTCTTAGCCAGTACTGAACAGTTTTGCTGATTGCTGCTTTATAATACAATTTAAGATCTGGAATGGGTAGGCCACCTTTCCCTTCATCTCTTTTCATTAGTTCCCTTGATATTCTGGACCTTTTGTTCTTCCAAAGGAATCTTGAATTATGCAAATGCAAATCTCAACAACTCTGAAGTACCACATCATACCTATCAGATTGGCCAAGATGACAAAACAAGAAAATGATAAATGTTAGAGAAGATGTGGGAAAATTGGAACACTAATGCATTGTTGGTGGAGTTTTGAAATGATCCAACCATTTTGGAGAGCAATTTGGAACCATGCCCAAAGGGCTATCGAAATATGCATACCCTTTCACCACAGCAATAGCACTTCTAGGGATATATCCAAGAGAGATCATACAAATGGGAAAAGGACCCACATGTACAAAAATATTTATAGTAGCTCTTTTTGTGGTTGCAAAGAATTGGAAATTGAGAGGATGCCCATCAATCGGGGAATGGCTGAACAAATTGTGGTATATGAATGTGATGGAATACTATTGTGCTATAAGAAGTGATGAACAGGCTGACTTTAGAAAAACCTGGAAAGACTTCTATGGTCTGATGCTGAGTGAAGTGAGCTGAGCCAGGAGAACGTTTTACACAATAACAGCAACGTTGTGCGATGACTAATAAACTTAACTCTTCCCAGCAGTACAAGAATCTAAGACATCTCCAAAGGCCTCGTGATGGAAAATGCTGTACACATTCTAAGAAAGAAGTATGGAGTTTGAATGCAGATTGAAGGATACTATTTGCTATTTTTTTCTTCTATTGTGTTTTCTTTCCTCTTTCTGGTGGTTCCTCCTATTGGTTCTAATCCTTATTTACCACATCACTAATGTGAAAAAAATGTTTAATAGAAATATATATATATATATGTATAACCTATATCAGATTGTGTGCCATCTTGGGGAGGGTGGTGGGGAGGAAGGAGGAGAAAAATTTTAAACTCAAAAGCACGTGGAAATGATTGTTGATAAATCATAATAAATTAATTAATTAAAAAAATAAAATAAATCCTGGCACTTACCAGCTCTGTGACAAGACACAGAGGGCAAGTCACTTAACTCCGTTTGCTATAGTTTCCTCATTGATAAAATGAGTTGGAGAAGGAAGTGATAAACCACTCCAGTATCTTTGCGAAGAAAACCCCAATTGCAGTCACAAAGAGTCAGAAAGGATTGAAAAGTCTGAACAACAAAAAGGGAAATTATTAGCATGTACTAAGGAGTTTTATGAGGATAAAATGAATATTTGTAAAGTGCTTTGTAAAACTTTAAAGTGGTATGTAAATGCCAGAAAAATATAATAAGGCAGTTTCTTCCTTGCACCTCTAATTTCTTTAAAATTTCTTATGTCTATATCATGTACTCCATTGGAATTAATTTTGCTATATGATGTGAAATATTTGTCTCTACCTAATTTCCTCCAGACACCTAAGAAAACACTTTGAACTGAATATCTCAAGTCACTGAACATGACAGATTTATTTTTCCTACTACTCACAATTAAAAGGATATGAAATCTTTTGAAATTTCTGTATTTTAAATAATCTTAATGTCCATGTGTTTTTTTTCCTCCCTCAGGTTGCTGTAGCAGCAATTTTTTTTTTGTTCAAGACAAAAAAAAATTCAAGAAACAAACTGATGATTTCCCACAAAGATGTCCTGGGGATCATTTATCTGATCCAGTTTATGAGTGGAATACTAGGGAATGGTCTACTCTTTTGTTTTTATAGCTTTAATTTCAATTCTGCCTTTAGGAAAAGATTCATTGACCCATTTCTCATCCATTTGGGCTTTGTCAACACCGTGATGCTTATCTTCAGAGGAATACCCAAGATCATAGAGTTTTGGGGGTGGGAGAACTTCCTGAATGATATTGGGTGTAAGTTAATTACCTATCTGCAAAGAGTGTCCCGAGGCCTTTCACTCTGCAGTGTCAGTCTGGTGAGTGTCTTTCAAGTGATTACTATCAGTGCCAATAGCCCTATGTGGGCAATGCTCAAAGCCAGATCTCACAAATGTATCTTACCCTGTTGTGTGTTCTGTTGGATTCTCAATCTGCTAATGGATGTTTTTGTGCCCTTGTATATAACTGGTCCAAGTAATAGCACAAATAAAGGAAGAAGGAATTTGGGGTACTGCTTTATAGATATGCATGCCATGCGTGCTTTAAAAGTTCATATCTGGAAGTCCCTGTACGATAGTTCTTTTGCGGGCATCATGGCCTGCAGCAGTGTCTACATGGTAGCTTTCCTATATAGGCACCGACAGCAAGTTAAGCACATTCACAGCACTAGCCTCACACCCAGAGTCTCCCCTGAGATTAGAGCCACCAAAGTCATCCTGCTGCTGGTGGGCACCTTTGTTGGCTTTAACACAATAAGCAGTCCTTTTATTCTTTATGTGGAATATTCTAATGGAACCAGTTCTTGGGTAGATCATGTCATTGCTTTTCTATCCATGTCATTTCAATCAATCAGTCCATTTGTGCTGATCACTAGTGATACCCAAATTCATAAGTCCCGCTTTGTTCTCTCAGGGATCATCAATTCCTAAAATGTTTTAGTCTTACCTTGATTTCAGATCAAATTGTTTCAGATCAAATTTTATTAATTTATGCTAAAAGAACTTATTTAAATATCTATCGATCTTTCTCTATTCCTCATCTATAGCTATTTCTACCTGTCTATAGGAATATATATGAATGTGTGTATATATTATATTACAATATAACATTTCCTTTGTAATTTGGTGAATTATTTTTTTGTTTTTCATATTTTATTTTTTTCTAAATTATGTAAGAGTAATTGTTAAAATACATTTTTTAAAAATTTTGAGTTCCAAATTCCCTTCCTCTTTCCCCTACCCTTCTTTGAGAAGGAAATCAATGTGATATGTTATCCATGTGCATCATGCAAAACAGATTTCCACGTTAGTTATGTTGTGAAAGATAATACAGACCAAAAAAGCCTCCAAAATAAAGAAACTCCCCCCGAAAAAAAGTTTGCTTCTAACTGCATTCAGACTCCATCGATTTTTTCTCTGAAGGTTGTTAGCATTTTCCATAAGTTCTTCAGGTATTGTCTTGGATCATTATATTGCTGAGAATAACTAAGTCATTCACAATGGATCATTGTATAATATTAAGGTTACTGTGTACATTCTTATCCAGTTCTATTCCTTTCACTTTGCATTATTTCATGTAAGTCTCCAGGTTTTTCTGAAATCATCCTGCTTGTCATGCTTGTTTACATGGTTTTCAAGCCCTTTGTGCATGGTTCCAAATCGCTCTCCAGAATGGTTGGATCGGTTCACAGATCCACCAACAATGCTTTAGTTTCCCAATTCTCCCATATCCCCTCCAACATTTGTGGTTTTCCCTTTCTGCCATAATAACAAATATAATAGGTAAGAGGTGGTAACTCAGAGTTGTTTTAATATGTATTTCTCTAAACAAAAGTGATTTAGAGCTTTGCTATATGCCTACTGATAACATTGATCACTTTGTTTAAAAACTATGTGTTCATATCCTTTGATCATCTGGGGAATGACTTATATTCTTACAAATTTGAGATAGTTCTAGTTATATTTGAGAAATGAGGCCTTTATTAGAGAAATATGCTATTTCACTTAATCCTCTTTCCTATTTCATCCTTCTCTCTCTCTCTCTTTTCCTGCTGTTACACCTCAAAAGTTTTGCTTTTGACCACTGCCTCCAACAAGCTATCCTCCCTCCAATCAGACCCTGTTTCTATAATTCTTTTCCCCACCTGCCTTCCTGTAAGGTGAAATAGATTTCTACACCCAACTGAGCATGTATGTTATTCCCACTATGAACCATTTCTGATAAGAGTAAGTTCAAGCCTTGTCCATACCCCCTTATATTCTCTTCCACTGTAAAAGCCTTTTTGATTTCCCTATTACATGAGATAATTTACCCTATTCTACCTCTCCCACCCCCCTTCTTCCAGTGTATACCTCCTTTTAGCCATTTAATTTTATCATTCCATTACAGTAAACTCATACCCATTGTTTCTATACACACTTCTAACTGCCCTAAGACATTTTAAAGTGTTTAAGAGTTAAAAATATCATCTTCCCATGTAAAAATGTGAACAGTTTAACCTAACCAAGTTTTAATGATTTGTCTTTCTTGTTTACTTTTTTATGCTTCTCTTGAGTCTTATATTGAAAGTCAAATTTGAAAGTCTCTGGTCTTTTCATCAGAAATGCTTGAAAGCCTTCAATTTCATTAAACATGCATTCCCCCCTCCCCCCCAATGAATTATACTTAGTTTTACTGGGTAGGTGAATCTTGGTTGTAATCTGAGCCTATTTGTACTTCAGATATCATATTCAGATAATAAAGAAGCTGCTAAATCTTGTGTTACCTTGACTGTGGCTTCACTATATTTGAATTGTTTCTTTCTGGCTGCTTATAATATTTTATCATTAACCTGGGAACTCTAGAATTTGGGTATCACATTCCTGGGAGTTTTAATTTGGGGCTCTCTTTTAGTTAGTGATCAGTGATTTTTTTCCATTTCTATTTTACTTATTGGTTCTAGGATATCAGTTCAGTAATTCTTAATAATTTCTGGAAAGATGATGTCTAGGTTCTTTACTTTATCAAGGCTTTAAGCTAGTCAAAAAATTCTTAAATGATCTCTCTTCAATCTATTTTCCAGGCCAGTTGCTTTTCCAATAATGTATTCTTTTTTCATTTAAAAGTATTTTATTGTTTCTTGATGTCTCATGGAGGCATTAACTTCCATTTGCCCAATTCTAATTTTCAGAGAATTATTTTTTTCAGTGAGGTTTTGCACCTCTTTTCCCATTTGGTCCATCATGGTTTTTAAGGAGTTTTTTTCTTCAGTAAATTGTTAAACTTCTTTTTTCCATGTGGTCAAGTCTATTTTTAAAGGAGTTCTCTTTCATAAATATTTATTTATCTTTTCTTTCCATTTGGCCAATTTTGCTTTTTTAAGGAGTTCTCTTTATTGGATTTTTGTGCCTCTTTTACCATTTGACCTATTCTTTTTTTTTTAAAGATTTTCTTTTCTTTTTTTAATTAATTAATTTATTTTAAGTTTTCAACATTCACTTCCACAAGATTTTGAGTTCCAAATTTTCTCCCCATCTCATCCCTCACCCCAACGTAAGACGGCATGCATTCTGAATACCCCTTCCTCTAATCTGCCCTCCTTTCTATCTTATCCCCCTTCACTTATCCCCTTCTCCTTTTATTTTCCTGTAGGGCAGGAGAGATTTCTATACCCCATTGCTTGTATATCTTATTTCCCAGTTGCAGGTGAAAACAATTTTTAACATTTGTTTGTAAAACTTTAAGTTCCAAATTTTCTTCCTTCCTCCCTCCCCACCCACCCTCATTGGGAAGGCAAGGAATTAGATACAGGTTATACATGTGTAGTCATGCAAAACACTTCCATAGTAGTCATGTTGTGAAAAGCTAACTATATTTCCCTTCATTCTATCCCACCCCTGTTTATTCTCTCTTTTGACTCTGTCCCTCCTTAGAAGTGATTGCTTCTGATTATCCCCTCCCCCAATGTACCCTCCCCTCTATCATCCCTCTGCTTTCTTAACCCCTTTCCCCCTCTTTTCCTGTAGGGTAAGATAGATTTCCATACCCAACTGAGTGTGTATGGTATTCCCTCCTCAAGCCAAATCTGATGAGAATAAGATTCACTCATTCCCTCTCACCTTCCCCCACTTTCCCTCCACTGTAAAAGCCTTTTCTTGTCTGTTTTCTGTGAGATAATTTACCCCATTCTACCTCTCCCTTTCCCTTTCTCCCAGGATAATCCTCTTACCCCATAATATGATTCTTTAGATATTACCCCTATATCTTCAACTCTGCCTGCACTCTCTATCTATCTATCTATCTATCTATCTATCTATCTATCTATCTATCTATACATACATATAATTATTACCCTCCAATTACTCTAATACTGGCAAAGGTCTCATGAGTTACAAATATCATCTTTCCATGCAGGAATGTAAACAGTTCAACCTTAATAACTCTCTTATGATTTCTCTTTCCTATTTACCTCTTCATGTTTCTCTTGAGTCTTGATTAGAAAGTCAAATTTTCTGTTCAGTTCTGGTCTTTTCATCGAGAATGCTTGAAAGTCCCCTATTTCACTGAATATCCATTTTTTCTCCTGAAGGATTATGCTCAGTTTTGCTGGGTAGGTAATTCTTGGTTGTAATCCTATGTCCTTTGTCCTCTGGAATATTATATTCCAAGCCATCTGGTCCCTTAATGTAGAAGCTGCTAAATATAGTGTTATCCTGATTGTGTATCCACAATACTTGAATTGTTTCTTTCTGGATGCTTGCAATATTTTCTCCTTGACCTGGGAACTCTGGAATTTGGCTACAATAGTCCTAGGAGTTTTCCTTTGGGTATCTCTTGCAGGAGGTGATCAGTGGATTATTTCTATTTTACCCTCTGGTTCTAGAATATGAGGGCAGTTTTCCTTGATAATCTCTTGAAAGATGATGCCTGGGCTCTTTTTTTAAAATCTCAGATAGTCCAATAATTTTTAAATTATCTCTCCCAGATCTATTTTCCAGGTCAGTTGTCTTTCCAATGAGATATTTCATATGGTTTTCTATTTTTTCGTTCTTTTGGTTTTGTTTTACAATGTCTTGATTTTTCGTAAAGTCACTAGTTTCCATTTGCTACGTTCTAATTTTTAAGGAAGTATTTTCTTCAGTGAGCTTTTGGACTTCCTTTTCCATTTGGCCAATTCTGTCTTTTTATTTTTTATTTTATTTTTTATTATTCAATGAAGTAAGCTGAACAGGGAAAAAAATATGCATGATGATTATGACAATGTAAATGAAAGTTACCACCACCACCACAAAAAAAACAATTGAATGTTGTGTAATTAAAATGATCACATTAGGTCCCAAAGAAGGGGAGAAAATATACTCCACCTTTCTTTGCAGAGGTGGGGTATTATGGGTGTGGAACACTGGATATACTGTTAGTCCATTTTCTGCTTAGTTGTTTTTTTTTCCTTCTCCAGCTCGTTTTAATTTATTTATTTTATCAACAATCACTTCCATAAGTTTTTGAGTTTTAAATTTTTCTTGCCCTCCCTCCCCACCTCCCTTCTCCAGATGGCATACAATCTGATATAGGCTATACATGTACATTCCTATTAAATATATTTTCACATTAGTGATGTTTTAAGGAAGAATTAGAACCAATAGGAGGTACTATCAGGAAGAGGAAACTAAACACAGCAGAAGAAAAAAAATAGCAAATAGTATGCTTCTATCTTCATTCAAACTCCAAAGTTCTTTCTTGGTTATGGATAGCATTTTCCATCATGAGGCCTGGAGATGTCTTAGATCCTCACATTGCTGAGAAGGGTTAAGTCTATCAATATTAGTACCTAACTGATTATGTTATTCCCTTCTTGAGTCAAATCTGATGAGAGTAAGGTTCAAACAATGCTCATCTCCCTCCCTTATTTTCCTCTGCTGTAAATGGTTTTTGTGCCTTTTCCTGTAATACA